GAGCTGCTGGTCCACCGCTGCCTCCTCCTGTCAGTCAGTTTGTGTTATTGTGTGACGCTGTTGGTCTTTAAAGGTCCGAGGGGCTCATTGTGATGTGTCACTGTAGACGTCGTCCAGCAGCTCCTGTGTGCTCAGAGCTAAAATGACTGTTTTTGTTAATGGAGTCTGTCGCACATCGCTCTGCTGCCTTTACTACTTCCTGTCTGAATACAACAGTTCAAAGAGCTGCAGCCGACCTCCTCCCCGACAGGCGTTACGAAGCTCCTCAAACATCAGTTTCTCCAGGGAGTCGTTCACGTAGAAGTTTCCTTCAACCTGGAAGACAAAGAAAAATGTTTTAATCAATCAATCAAATAAAAAAACTCAGAAGATTTACAGGATAAATCATAACTTTAAATCAAAGTAGTTCTTATTAAAACTGACTTACATTTAATATTCTCATATCTAGAGTAACATAATAAAACGTTAAACACAATTTTCTTTCATTAAATTCAAACAATAGTGATTATTTTAATTAACATTATTACAGATGTGTTTGTATAAGTTCATTTTAATTAAAATTATGGTTGAAGGTATTGCATCACAAACTACTGCAAATCCATATTTCCTTAAAAATTGTGTATACGGAAATAATATTACATTTTTATTTAATAATTTGTGTCACCAAGTCAACTTTTAACCAAACTCTCAATTTATTTATTTATTTATTTATTTTTAAATCTGAAACACGAGCTATTAGCTATGAAAGCCGTATTAAAGGGTGGTGCCTACTGATATGATAAAATTAAAAATACATCAAATTATAATCCACATTATGGCTAAATAGGGATTCAAAATTAAAATGACCATTTTTCTAATTGGAATCAGCCAATCATTGGAGTACTGACCGGGTGCTTTTTAACAGTTAATATTAAAAAATTCTAACAATCTCATTAATTAGTCAAAACATGGTCACAAATTTTAATAACTTTATTTATAAATGCTTATAAAAAATGTTAAAATCTGAGTTTTAATCTCTCAACGTCGGCAGTCAATAATCTGTGTGCTGATTTCAACTAGAAAAATAGTAATTTTAATTTTAAATGCCTATTTAGCCATAATGTGGAATATAATTAAATACATTTTTAATTATATGTTATCAGTATGATCCACTCTTTCATTCGGCTCATGTTTTACAGCCAACAGTTGCAGCAGAGTTTCATCAGCAGGTTTTAACTTTGGCTTTGAGGCGGATTTCTGCGCTAATGTCACTGATTCCTGTGACCACTTTAACTTTATAATTGTCACATTTCCATATGGAGTCTGGTTAAAGTCTACAGAACAGGCCAACGTGTTTCACTCCCTGAGCTAACCAGCTAGCCCCGTTACCGGCCCCGTTACCGGCCCGGTTACCGTGTCCGGTTCTCACCTGCATGTTGGGAACGAATCCCTTTTTAATCCTCCAGCAGTTGCTGCTGATTTTATCCAGAAACTGCAGCTCATCGTTGTAAGTGCGGCTCATTGTTCCTGAGCAGAAAACGTCCGATTCAACTGGTTTTAATGCTGCGTTTCACCGGCGGGGCCAGCAGTCACTGCGCTACGGAAGCCTGCACGGACTCTGACAGCAAAACGCGTTTTTTAGGGCATGACGCAGGACATATTTAAACTTTTAAAGGAAGGAAATTAAATGGCGACTGTGTGAGTCTTTATCTACAATGCGGAGCGTTAAAGTGTTAAAGTGTTCGCTCTGTTTCTGCGTTAACTCACAGTCTCAGTTAAACGCTTCACTTCGCGCTTACCGTAGTTGTAGTCAAATAAATGTAGTCAAGTTTAGAGGAAACACTCCGGTAGAGCCGGAAGTCTGGCGAGTGGCCTTCAAAATAAAACATATAGTTTTCTCTTTTATGAAAATTTGTATTTGTGTATTTTTTTAATATTTTATTTACTACTTTATATTTTTTATATCATAGCTTCAAACCAGCTGATATTCATCTGTTCTGTGTTGAATTAATTTATCTTTTAATACATTATTAACAAACAAAAAAAACATTCGGACGTCTCAAATATCTGAAAAGTTAGTGTGTAAAAAAAGTTTTTTTAAAGGATATATAAAAGTTAAATATAATATCTGTTTTTTATTTCTTTACCTTGTTTTCATTTGGAAAGAATTTTATTTTATACGCTTTTTTTTATATTCCCTTTCTTTTGTTATGTGTATTTGTTCATTGTTGTTGATATTGGTGAATCAAAATGATCAATAAAAAAAAGAAAAACAAAGGTTTGGTCACATAATAATTTAATAAACAACTTATTATAATTTTTGCTTTTATTTCCTAGTATATTGTTTCTGATTTGAACCTATTGTTTGGTTTGTTTACCAAAATAAATCAGTATTATATCAACAGTTTAATCTTTGTGCTTGCAAAATCTCACATCCACAAATATATTATATATATATATGTTTTAGATTTTGAAGTTAAATCAAACATTAAATTACTCCCATACTGTAATAAAAAGAAAACAATCCAAACTTCAAATGTATTTACCTTGTTTTATTTATTTAACTAATTTCATGATTTCTGTCGATAAAGTTCAATAAATAACAACAAAACCATCTCCATGACAACTGAGTGAAACTGTTTTTTTTGGGGCTACTGTTCCCCTCAGGCTCAATAATAAGGTTTAAAATATATAATATAAAATATAAAATATAAGATTTAAAGCAAAAAAACACATTTTTTTAAAAAGTCCTTTGAAACGAGCTAACACACCTTTATTGTGAAAATATAGATTATGAGCACCGGAAGTACCGTGTGTGTGTGTCGGTGTGTCGCTCCCGGTTCGGTTGCTGTTTACAGCGAAATGAGTGCGATTTAACAGAGAAACCGAATAAAACCGGTGGATATAAAGTCAGTATTCACTCATGTAAGTGTTCCTCTGTTTGTCTCTGCAGCTACGGGCCGCTGTCGGTTAAATTAACGGTTATTTAACGGGTGAAAGAACCGTTAACGAACTAAAGTTAACCAGCTAATGCTAACAGCTAACGCTCAGAAACGAAAACGAAACATTTTAAATTTTTTATCTTAAAATAACAAAACTGGATTTTATAACAAAGTTGTGTCTGATTTCTTGATTAAGTGTCTTTTTTTTAAATTTAATTTATTTTGTAATATTTAGCGAATGTGTTTTTGTGTTTTGTGTGAATGTTCAAACTTTATATTTAAAGGAAAATAAAAAATAAATAAAAACCAGCAACGTTAATGACTCATCAGAAAATTAAAACGCTGATTATTGATGGTTTTTTGTATTTTTATTATTTTAACTTTCACCCAGAAACAGCAGAATAACTTTATATAAAATAATGAACAGTTATATTTAATATCTGTTGAGTTATTTTCATTTAAAGTAGCTGATGAGAGAATCTCTCCACCAGACTCCATTCATATTTCTGACCATTTAGTGAAACTTGTTATTCTGTTTGAGCCTTTGTGCTTAAAACAAAAACTGGATTCACTTCAGTTTGTGTGTAAAAACAACAGATTAAATATTCTGCATGGCCAAAAGTATGTGGACACTAATTAAAGCAGTATTTTATAATAAATAAATATGTTCCTTCCACCAAACTCCATTAACTTTTACCTGAATTTAAGTGAAACACATTTTGAAGTTAGGAGATACAAACATGATTCAGTTAAAGCTGTGTGTTGTAATAAATGATTTGATGATAAAGGTTTATTATTAATGAGAATCTTCAGTTTTTGGCTCATTTTGAGTGAAAGTCTGTTATAATAAGTCTACATAACGTCCTCCACATACATCTGTGTGTCACGTGTTGATGTGCTTCTCGTCTTCAGGATGAAGCTGCGGGTTCGGATCAGCAGACGGACCCTCAGGGTGGAGCTACCGGGAGAGGAACCCAGTCTGAAGGAGCTGATAGATCACATCCAGGACACGGTTCTGTCTTCTCACGGACTCAGGTGAGAATAATAATAATAACCATTGTTATTATTATTATTAAAAGGCAGAAGAAGAAAGTGTTGGTGTTATTGTTTCTCTCAGTAAAGGATGAATCCACAGTTTTATTGCAGTAAGATTTATTTATAAAACACACTGAGGATGGGGACATATTAATAATAATTATTGTTGTAGAGCGCCACCTGCTGCTGTGGAGACTTATTACCTCTCTTTATTTCTGTTAATGATTTAAATGAAAGGTGACGTTCAGTCGTCAGTTTGTAAAGAAACCGATGATTTGATTCGTCTGAACTGCTTCCTGTTTCTCTCTCAGTGCAGACACAGAGTTCAGTTTGTCTCTGAACGGCTCCGAGCTTCTGACAGACTCGGGTCAGACTCTGTCGTCCTGCGGCATCGTCTCCGGAGATCTGATCTGCGTCATCCTGCCGGAACCTGCCGCCGCCGCCGCCGCCGCCGCC